ACACGTTATGGTTCATTCATAACTAAGACAAGTCTCTCACATTTAAAGCAATACATTCTGTGAGTTTATGTTTATGATGTGGTTTTAGTGTGTCAATGGCTTTATCTATTCTATACTGTACACACATGTATGAAGTACTCCAACACAGCCAAGGGTTCACTCTGAATTGAAGGGTGGTCCTGCCGGTGCTGGCCTTGATGCTCACGGTCCGTCTCCACGACTCTGGACCGAGCTGTTCCGTTTAAAGCCGCTCTGAGAGGCGGCTTCAGCGCCATATGCTGTTCCTGTTTCCCTTTTTAGTGCAGGAGAACTTTTGTATGACTTCCACTGAGCAAAACAACGTTACGTCAGAGACAAGTGTTATGGGATACGTGTCATCATCTGTCATATTGCTGTTCATGCGTGTGGGCCGCCCCACCCCTCCCTCATTACCCAGGACATCTACTGACACTCAAACCCTCCCTCTGCCAGAATGGACTGTTGGCAAGATAGGAGCGTACATGTGACCCTTCCTTCAACAATCATACAAAATCATGTATTCTTAAATTACAGTAATGGAGCAGATCCTATGCATTTCTCATTGTGCAATATGTATCGTTGTGTGTGTGTGATGCAACAGTGCCATCTGTCGTGAAAACCCTGTAATGCCATCCAGTACTAGTGCTTCTGAAAACCTTTGATCCGTGTACCTTTCTGTTTAAGAACCCCCAAGTCCTTCTGGGTAAGCGAGGCCATACTGATGTGATTCTCCCAAGTCGCACTACTCAGTGAACCAGCCAGCCTTTCATTGTTTGTTTGTTTCTATCGCTCAGTGGGAACTCTGACCTAAAGAACTGAAACTTTCTTAACATAAAGAATCTAGAGATGGAAATTATATGTAGAAATCATAGAGTAACTATAGAGATTTTATCAGAGTTGCTATTGTTATCTGTATCATAATGAACTGCTATCATAGAAGAGAGTAGATTATGTTATTGTAGGCTCTGTGCGGCATACAGGGAAAGGAAAAGTCCTTTGCTTTCTTTTGTTCTTTGTTTGTTTCTTTACATGTTTTTTTTTAAGTACAACAAAACTTATTTAAAACAAAAGTTTAATGAGTGAGTTTTTCTTTCCTTGATGACAGTGATGGAATTAATATTGTAATTCAAGGCCTTTTTACACAATATCCTAAAGTCACATTAGCCAGGCCTTCTCAGGGGTGACAGGTTGAGCAAACGTTAACATGACCATCCATTCAGGGTATCCCTCAATAGCTCTAGGGAGCAGGAAACACTGTACGCATGGATGGATTGAAAAAGAAAACCCAACCTTACAGTGCTGTACCATAGAGAGGACAAGGGATGGATTTTGGACAATAAAGCTTTTAGAACTTGTACAAAAAAAATGGTTTGAATGATTATCTGAATGTGTGCGTGTCCCTGCATCATGGGTACAAATGAAAAACAGCATCCCACAAGGCTGTACTTTGGCTCTTTGATATTTGAGCCGTTACAATATGTGTGTGGGTGTGTGAAGAAAAAAACCAAGAGGAGACACAGGCGGAGTATTGATAATGAATCAACATGAATGCTCAGATTTGCAAAGATGCTGAAAAATATGACTGTTTCAAAAATATTAACCAGAAATTGAAAACTGAGTACAGCTCTCAAGAAATAAAACAGATTTTTATTGTGATCCTGGATTTGAGCTGGCTTCTACGGAGGTGTGCAACACCCTCACATAATCTGTTCATGTGGCAGCCCACAGTTACTCCTTTTCCAGTTGTTTCATAGAGACAACTTGTGACAGCAGGGCTGGTGTTTGGCCAAGATACGATGGTGAATGCAAATGGAAACAAGTGTCTGAGCTCTCATGCATCTGTGGTACACAGAGGAGTGATAAAATAATATACCTGAGTGGCTGATGTGGTTTAGAGCCTGGCTAATCTCCTTTATCTACAGATGATTCTCCACAGATGGCCATCGCAGAGTGAATTGTATTCTGGGATGGCTTTAGCGACTGCAGGAAGATCTGGTACTTAACGATGAATCCTCCTGAATTTTTCAACCGCAGCTGTTCGCTTGCCAACATGATACAGTGTTGCCCATCTCTGCTCATCCCTAAAGCCAACTTTACACATTGAAACTGAGCAGAGAGACATCTAAACATCTAATCATGTATTTAGCCCTGTATTCATTTTACAGTGTTGCTTGTTTATTTAAAGGAGAGCCCTTGTCCTCTATACGTTCTTTGTGGAAGCACATCGTCCAGGTCTGGTGCCAATCAAAGGGATCCACTAAAGTGAAATGGAAGAAGGACATGATGACCTTGTTGAACTGTGACACTGGTGTGTATCCGCTGTATTGATCCATTATCTTATCTTACTTCTCTCCATGGAGGGAGTGACACCCTTATCTCCTGTTGTGTGTCTTCCCTCAGCTCTAGAGTCAACCCTTATCAAATAAATCAAAAAGACAAGGCCAGTCCTTGTGGTGCCACACTCAGCTTGATAATTATTGTATGGGAATTATCATGACAAATAATGTAACATGTAATAATGTTATATTTTACAACAGTAGCAGTTTATCTGCTGCTGATTTTAGTTTCATTTCTCAGGTTTGCTTTAAATATTGGACACTTGGTAATATGTATTGCTGACATTACAGAATATTATTGATGTTGTTTATTTCGGTAATACGGTACAATTATGTCTTAGATTAAATTATCAAATCTAAAACATTACTAGTCACTAGTACAGGTCAATTCCTTTCTAGGGGTTATTATTTTATTGCAAATATGGAGTGTTATTCAAATAAAGCAGGATATTTTAAATTCAAACTCATTTTAAATCCTCCTAGCCTCACTGACATAGAAGTTATTACATCATTTTAGTGTTGAAGCATTTGACAAAAAAGGCGTCTATTTCTGCACTGTTTGTACGTCAGGGACAAGGAGACAGATGATTGGAATGAATCAATTTGTTTTTCAGATCCCACATTGCCTTTATTTATTCCTGTATTGAGCTTAAGTTGTCTTTTTATTGACTGGTGAGAGAAAATGTGTCAACATGTCCCCATGGATAATGTCAGAGGTGTCAAACTCTTCCATCATATCACAGCACAAACTCTGAGCAATAACTAAGATCCAATTATTGCACAGTTCTGACTTATCCCACATGAAATCCCCCTGCACTTTTAGGACAAATGACCTGTCTCAGAGGCTCGTGGGCAGCCAGCATGACGACTAACATTTGACATAACTGATGACTCCAGGGCTGCTGGTATTTCCAGTCCACAGAATAAAAAGCCGGATAGCACAGAGAATAAAGGTGGCACTGCCATTTAGACCATGTGTTCACTCCTGTGTGGAATTGTTTTGTTAATCTGGTGCCTCGTCATGATGGGGAAAGTGAAAAAAGGGTCAATGCAACATTAAGTCTAGTTTATCTTCTTAAAAAAAACTGAAACAAGTGAGGGATAACATTTTATCTATTTCCCCTGGGGGAGCAGGATACTCAGCTGCAGTCATAAGACACACAGTCATGCAACAGTAAAAGGGTATTACTGGTAAGGGCATCGCCGTGTTGCTTTGCTGCGACTGAGGCAAGCAAGTGTGCATTTCTCTTTTGTGGTCAGTGTAGTCTGAAGGAAGAAGAAGGTTCATAAATCACACAGGCATGTGACAAATCGATCCCCGCTCTGGCACACTCGCAGGGTTCCATGTTTTGTGCTGTGGATCTTTTTTTCTTTATGTGGGTCAGTACATATGTTAAGTCCTACAGAAAGGCTTTGAAACGTATTGACAACTTCTCTTCCTTGCTGTTAGAACTTGGGGACATAAAATGACCACTAGTGTGTACTGACATATCCAAATGTGTGGTACAATAACTAAAGCCTGTTGAGTGAAGTAACTGCTGCGCCCTGGCTCTAGTCTAGTCATTAAAAAGAACATGATTGAAATGAGATGGTAAATGATAACACCCTCGGGGGAAACTCAGGTAGAGAGTACCATCATTTCATAAATGTTCCACTTGAGGTTTTCTCATTATCTTGCATTAACCTATCCAGTCGATATGCCCGTGTGGAACTAGAAGAGCATTTCCTTTGCCTGAAAATCGTTGACATCGTCTGACCTTCAGTGTTTTTCCTGCCACTCACAAACTGGTTTGAATAAAGCTAAGGCAGCAACAACAACATTGGTCAGATGGATATAGAATGCCAAACTAATTCATGATACAGAAAATGTTCAATTTGTACCTTTATTCACTTTAGTACATTGCAAAATGTTAAGAGACATTTACTCCTGAATGTTTGTCATGAATATTTGACACATGAAAGACAAATAAATCTAATTTGCAATGTACTATCATTGATTTATTAACATGTTAAGACATTTCTTAATGAGTCCTCTGACTGTACACCACCATTCTATACAAACAATGTTGTCTAGTGTTGTGAGGACGACAAACACATATTACTGACATTTTATGCAACTAAATTGTAAAATCAGGGCATTAATTTAAAGATTGTTGTAACTGCAGATTAGATACAGTATAATGCAGAGATCCTACAATGAATCCATTGTATACGCATGGATATTTATTACCTTTAAAAGATCATTAATAAGCCTTTTTGAGTAGCTATAAATTGTTTTACTGGAAGATCAGAGACATCTACTGGCTATAAAAAATACTACAACATAAATTAAAGCTGCAAGCACCAATGAATGGGACAGATTTTAGATCTGGTACAAAATGTGATATATATATATATCAAATTTGTTACCAGATCTAAAATCTATAAATGTTAAGGCCTTCAAAATAGCAATTTACTTTTAGGAAAAATAATAAGAAATACCTGATGGATAGGCCCTCCACTCTGACTCTGTTGTTGTTCGGGCCCTAATTAACTATACTAAAAGTCATTGACTGGGATTGGGTTTATTTGTGGATATGAGTTTTACTCTCACTTAACTTGAGACGGAAACAAGTCGTTTCAGCGGAACATAAAAAATAAAAATACTACTAATAACCACATTTTAATTTCACAACTCTGACGAAAGGGCTTTTGTAATAAAACAGCTGTGTCTAAATACAACCACAGATTCTGGTTCGGCACAGAAACAAATATTTATATTGTTTACAAAAGCATGCAAACAAATATCAAGTGAACACACACAAAAGCTTGAATCACAAAAAAAGTTGCATGTTTGATACATAGTGTTAATGACCTGAGGCACAAACACATGAAAAAAATACTACATTAACACATTTCCTCTTTTTAGTCATACAAACAATAAAAGCCGCTCATTCTTTCATGTTGCACCCGAACAAACAGTTCTATGGTCTACTAATGAATAGGAGTTGTATTCTACATCTTAGATAAACATATACTAGCAGTAACTGACGGATTATATGATGAGTCATGTTGTTTATGCTAGGACGTTTTACTTTATAGATTGCCTATGTCTTTCATGTGTCACAAACAGAAAAAGAAATAGCACCTGAGCCTGCAGAAACCACCTTTCATTCAAACAATGTTTATCTTGTATTTACATTTCTAAAGCCTGTACAGAAGGCAATATGTGGTGAGGAATGTCAAACATTCAATGAACTGCATCCAACAGTGAATTTCAGCAAATAACAAATATAGTGTAACAAATCTCCAGATCAACAAACAGCACAGTTACTGTACATCAATCATGTATCAATAATCAATCACCTTTAAATCTTTTACAACATGTGAAATTCAGCATTTGTGTGATTCAATAAGTAGGTAACATTAGGTAACTGCTGCCTTTTTGATTACATCTGTGTAGTAGCCAGTGTACATGTGTGCTCGATCATACGGTATCTATACAGTGGGCACCATGATTCTCTGAGCTTGACTGGTTAAGTATAAATGACATGTTGATTGTCAGTAGTTTAGGAACTAAATAGTGTGGGTCCAAAACATGAATCCTGATGTCAACAGCTGTTATTGTAAAGAATGTGGATGAATAGTTTGACCATATACCAAGTAAAAGAGGGTTGAAAAACAAAAGCAATTTGCTTTCATAAAATTCTTAGCTGATAAAAGATCAGCGGTTTTTTCAAATTTATGATAAAAGTGTTTCACCAAAATACCAACAGCGCTCACTGTATATAAATATTTATACAATCACCCTGCCTTTTTGTCATCTCAGTCTCCTAATCTAATTATCCTTCATATTATCAAAATAGTTTTTCAGCCAAGCTAAGATCCCTTTAACCTTCTTCTTCTTCCCTTCTCTTTAACGTGACAACAGTGTCTGATAACTCAGCTGTCTGTGGAACCACTGCCCTTATTCTTATTGCGACTGAGTGGGAAAGTGGACTTGCTCTGAGGCTGGGTCATTTTGCTGGCCAGGTAGACGAAGGGTTCGATCAGGGTTCGGCGTTCCACCACCGACACCTCCCAAAGACGCACCTTCTCATTTTTTGCCCAGTTCTGAACCATGTTAGAGTCCACTCTCCTCTCATCCTGCTTGTCCAGCTTGTTACCCAGCACAACAATGGTCACCTGTGGATCAGGGTCAACAGGTTAGTCCCATGTCAATGTAATCTACTGTCGACATCAGTGCATTTCGTCTCAATACTAGCATGTAAACAGCTATGGCAGGTTATCTATTGGGACTTTAAGAGAATCAGGAGTAAATAACATTCAACTGTGTTCAGTCTTTACCTCTTTCTTGTCTCTGTGACGGTCAATGTCCTTCTTGAGGGCCTCCATCCGCTTAAAGGACTCTTTACTGTCAATGCTGTAGACCAGTACAAAACCATCTGCAAAAGTGTAGTAATGTCGAGGAAACTCCATCCCATCCCTGAGTCCGCGGGTGTCATAGAATCGCACCTGCTCTCTTGTGCCACGATCAGTTTCTATAGAGCCGATGTAGATGTCCTCCAGGGTCTCCATGGGCTCTGAACCTAAGCATGCATAACAAATACAGGTAAACATGGTGTAATACTGCGAGAAAAGTAAGACATTATAATTAAAACATAAGTGAGCACTTGTAAACGTTCTTATTTAAAGCAAATAGCATTACATATAAAACATATGCAGGTAATCTGTTCGACATTACGCATTACGGCCCGTGCACACGGCGGCGTGCGTTGAAGCTTGCCGGCGGGGGGGGGCTGAAACTCGACCAACAACCAATCACATGAATCTCCCGCCCCGGACACACAAGCACGCGGTTTGATTGGCTAGAGCTTGTACTGGCATATGATTCGATTGGCTGACGCTTCCGTCGAAGCTTCAAAAGTTGAACATTGCTCAACTTTTGCAGCAAGCAACGCTTCTGAAGCTACGCTTCGCTCCCACAATGCAGTTCGGCGAAACGTGACGTCACCCCATTCAAAGTGAATGGGCAGAAGCGTTGAAGCTTCAACGTACGCCGCCGTGTGGACGGGCCGTGAGAGTAACTGGGGGATGGGGTTACTTACTTAGTCATTTTTAGTAAACAGGATTCTAAGTTGGCAACAATCATGTCAGTGATGGTAAAGTGTGTGCCAATCAGAAATAATCCATTTTCAAAACATGCAAACAAATATAAAGTAAACAGAAATCTAATTTGGCAGACATCGTTAATAATTGTAGCAAATTCGTTTTTTCCCAAAGAGAACTTTAGAAACTGAAAGCATATCATTGATGTTGCAGTAGTAACAATAAAAAATATATAACATCTCAAAAAAATAATGTAAGTTTTAGGGCTGGTGCTGAATTTCTGAAACTTTGAAGATATCTACCTGCAAAAAATGAACATGCTCTCTGGATTACCCTTCATGACTTTGTACTGCAATTCAAATAATATATGCTTGTTTAATGACTGTTCCCTAATGATTACTAAGTGCATGTTAGATAACTTAATCCTAAAAGTACCAGTATAGCAGGAATATGAATTGCTATCAATATAGTGCATCAGAGACGTGTCAATAGGGTTCGTTTGAACGAATACATCAAAAGTACATTCTTATAATTCAAAAGGAATACCTGCAACATGGTTGGCATACAGCAGTTGTTCCAGTACAGCCGTTTTACCCACTGCAGCCTGGCCACAAACAACCACCTTGCAGCTTTTTCCCATGGCTTACTCTCAGGTCGGAATATCTGTGTTTCGGAGAAGACACACAGGTGGAAAACTGTCAAAATACTTTATAAGCGTTACGGTGTTTAGTGTAAACAAAAAGCATGCGTTTTGGGTAGCAACATTGCTAACATATGATGGTGTTATAATCATCTACTGACTAAGAGCAAATAAAGATTACCAAATATAACATTAGTCAAGCTAATAGTATTACAGTAACGCTAGCTAGCTGAGTATGCTGACGTGTTTACAGTGTATGAACTGAAACATTAGCATAGCATTAGCTTTCGGTGAAATCCAGGAACAGTATTTGATATACCAAGGTAATGTAACGTGAAACTGACTAACCCGAATCAATGTCGTGTAATCAAAAATACATACACACGGGTGTTGGCTACATGCAAGGAAATATGTATAAACATTGGTTTTATGTTTTACTTACAAGCAAACTGCTCTTCTTTCCTAACGGGCTACTTCCTGTTTACACTGTACGTAACGACTGCAGTAAGTGGCCCCGCCCCTCCCCATTGACGGCAAAATGGCGAAGGAGAGCTGTGATGAAGTGAACATGGATCCTGATATGGATCTGCTCAGTGACGAAGAATTAGAAAGGTAATACAAATTGTAGCCGTGTTGTCAGCAGCAGAAAAACACATTTATCGAAGCGTCTTACTGATATGTGTGATAAGATGCCCTTCCAGCATTAATTCTCTTCGCATTTCGCACTATGTAAGCTAACTAGCGCGCCACCGCTGTACCGCTGAATGCTGGGTCTCGTTTAGCTTGGCTGTCCTCCTATTTTAGCTAGCTCCTGTGCTGGATTTCTGCTTTACAGCCAGGCACATTGTTCTATCCATGCATTTTTCTCAAGGTTCACCAAGATTGAAATATTGCACTCTTTTGCAGTATTGCCAGTAGGAAAACTTCCAGAATAACTAGTTTGTTTGTAGCCTTTATTTAACCAGGTTAAAAAATCCCATTGAGATCAACGATCTCTTTTTCAAGGGAGACCTGCGGTACATTAGTTACACATAAAAACAACAGAAAACAAAAAGGACATCACAACATAATTACAGGGGTATACATTAGCAACCTATTCACAGTGACAGGTATCCAATAACATTAGTTAATGACCTCTCCTCTCACTGTGTGGTCGTGATGTATAACATGACAAGACTTCCAAAAAAAGTAACGGCGGTGGCCCACAGCATGGTGTCAGATGTTGCTGGCTTTGCTCCTTGTCAGCTTCACAAAATAGACTACGTGTAGTCATTTGTGCCCTGCCTGCTTGTTAGGCTCTTTCTATGTTTAGCTAACTTTCCAGCAAGCTCTCTAATGCACACTGTCAGTCACAATCCTGGATATGCTCTCTTTACACATGCTTATTAAGGTGATGACTACACTTTTGAATTCAAGGAGCTTTTTTGGCATGGAAAGTTGAAGAACAATGTTGCCAAAGCATCAAGATATTAAGGATATATGTCCATGTGGACACTACACAAATGACAGTGATCAGTGATGTGTTAATTAACACAACGAACATAGAGATATCAATTATGTACACTATAAATATTGTCAGCAAGACATGGCACATGTCATTTTCTCATGGGAGTAATTTCATTTTTTAAAGGCCATTAAGCTGTCTTAAAGTGTACCTTGTTAAAGTAAAGCCGGTTCTTATTTTATCAATCGTTTGCCAATGTACAATGAAGTACATTTCTGTCTTAGAATCTCCTGTCAAACAGAAACTACATATTAAATTGTACTCTTTTGGTTGCCAGGATTTTTTGTGTCTTCCTTTTTAAATATTTCTGGTCACTGAGCCTATACTGGTTTGGGATCTGTCTGGTCTGCCTTCAATCTCTGACATTAGAGAGATTCTATAACATCATTATTTCTTTTAGGGCCAGATAACTTTAAAATCTACATTTTTAGTTTTTTCTTTCCAATGTTCCAAACAGGTTTCTTTTAATTGCTTAATTTTCTGTCTTTCTGTCCACTTTAACACAGGGATGCAGAGGTCTTCAAGGAGCAAGGCAATGCCTTTTATATCAAGAAGGATTACGCAGAAGCATTCAATTATTACACCAAGGCCATAGGTAATTCAAACAATGTGGGACTTTCTTCCTGTTAGTCGATGGAGTTATTCAGATTTTCCTGTTTGAATAAGAAATAAAAGTTTGAATTCTGTCTGTCCTTGATAGGATGTCAATAACTTGTTTGTTATACAGACATGTGTCCAAAGAATGCAAGTTACTATGGAAACCGGGCAGCCACGCTAATGATGTTGTGTCGGTACAGAGAGGCTTTAGAGGATTCCCAGCAAGCAGTACGACTAGATGACGACTTCATGAAGGTGGGTTACATTATATTAAAGGAAAAATGACTCGGCTTGCAAAAAGCAATTATTTTCACGTGTCATTTTTGTTTTGCTTACATACACTGTTACTCAGCATCTTTACTCATTTCTTGCTAAGAGATTGCTAACATTTGTCCTAAATGCTGTAGACAATGCATAGAAAAGGGACATCACCGCTTTTTGAAATAGCAGTCATATTTTGTGTAAAAATTGGGCTTTTTTTTCATCTTTAAATTGTTGTTTATTGTTGTGCGATGTGGCTCCTAAATACATTTGTTATAAAACCACACCCCTATGTAATACTGCATGCCTGAATTAAAGTATGTGGTTAAGATATGCTTTAGAGATTTTAACATTTCAAGATTTTTGTTTAATAGATGAATACTTAAAGGTGGGGTAGGTAATTTTGGAGAAACCAGCTCGAGTGTGCTAGAATTTGAAAATACACAGCCGGAAAAAATCTGCCACTTCCTTACAGAGCCCCTCCTCCAACACACACGAACGCGCACATGACCAATGAGGGCACGAGATAAGTTTGTGCACAGATGGAAGGCTGACAGGCAGGTAGGCCATCCAGTTATTTTAGCCGGGCCGGCTAAAATGATTGGTCGTGCTTTTTACAGTACTACGGCTTCCACAGATGACATTTTTTAATGGATTTTTTGTCAAAGCACTTAAGATATTCATTGCTATCGGGATGTTAAGAGCATTCCATGGAATATAACAAAAAGTGTCTCTCGAGCCGGTTTCTCAAACTTACCTACCCCACCTTTAAGAAATATCACATAATTTTAAACCTGTCTTAAAAGGGTTGTTGCTAACAAATTACTTAATGTGTCTACAGAGGTTGTCAGGGACGTTAGGGGTCATCACGTTGGAAACTTGCTCCTGTGGTTTGTTTATAGCCCAACATAAGCTTTTTTCTTCCAGTGATTCTCTTGCTGAACAACATTTGTCATTATCATATACCTATATTGGCCAAAGAGGTTATTTTCTGCTGTTATCCAAAACTGACAATAAAAATGTGTTACATTACAAAGGTTTAAGATAAAGCTAGTCATGGTTTAATATTACTTATTTGAACCAGGTAACTGAGTAAAGTTATCAGCTTAGTTTGTAAACTAAATCTTTTACCCACAGGGCCACCTGCGAGAGGGCAAGTGCCACCTGACGCTCGGCAATGCAATGGCTGCCAGCCGCTGTTTCCAGAGAGTTCTGGAGCTGGAGCCTGACAACGGCCCCGCTCAGCAGGAGGTGAGACTGACTCAGTTTGACAGAGCGTGAACTGACAACTTGGACATAATTTTCCACTCTCAGACAAGCTTTGGCCAAGCTAGTGCAAATAAAGTGGAAAAAGGCTGATACTTAGCAGCTTAAGACAAGATAAACTAGAGATGGTGTTAATTCTCAATGAGACAACCATGAGCACAGTTTTAGGTTATCAAATCAAATCAGGTTTTATTTATAAAGCACATTTTAAAAACGCTGTGCTGTACATGCAAATAATAAATAACACATTAATACAATCGCAAAACAGAAGACAATAAATTACAACAGCAAATATAAAAATCAAACACAGGGAAATGTCAGGAGTCGTACTCCGCTCTGACTAGAAGGCCAGGAAGAAGAAGTGTGTCTTTAGTGTTGATTTAAAAACCCCTAGGGTCTGGGCCGACCTCACATGGTTATTGACACCAGAATGCTGCTTGCATTGTCCTGGTTTTACAAACGCTAAGCATGGCACAGAAGAGAGGCCATTGGTAGCTGTTTAGCAATACATCTACTACAGGTCTTTGAACTTTTTATCTGAATACCACAAATTCCTTACAGATCAAGAATGCAGAGTCCATCCTTGAATATGAGAGAATGGCAGAGATTGGATTTGAGAAGAGAGACTTCAGGATGGTAAGCTACACATTAGTTACAATCTAATGATCCCAGTTGTGTGGTTGGTATGTCACCAGTAACACAATATGTGATTGTGTCCAGGTTGTTTTTTGCATGGACCGTGCCTTGGAGTCAGCTGCAGCCTGTCACAGGTTTAAGATACTGAAGGCAGAGTGCTTAGCACTGCTGGGACGCTACCCTGAAGCTCAATCTGTGGCCAGGTAAAGCAGTCATTCTCACAATTAAAAGGTACAAATTAACAGTTTTCGCTTGGGCCCTGCTCCCATTATGGATGACATTTTACTATCAGTTGCTAAAAGTCTCATCACTGCGGGGGAGCATATATTAGACATTTAGATGCTGTTTTCAGATGTGAACTCACCCTTTAAACATGATGACACAAAATGCTATGTTTTTTGTTATTTCTCCTTTGGTGTCATTTTTGTATTTGTGCTTTTTCTTTTACCATAAATAATGTTTTTTTGTTCCTGTTTAGTGATATACTTCGAATGGACTCCACTAACGCTGATGCTCTGTACGTGCGAGGCCTCTGTCTGTACTATGAGGACTGCATTGAAAAGGCTGTCCAGTTCTTTGTTCAAGCCCTGCGCATGGCACCTGACCACGACAAGGCTCGGCTCGCATGCAGAGTAAGTATTATTAATCAAACATATTACAAATAAATTGTGAATTCCCTCTCATCTAATTAAGTCCTATTGAAATTGATGTTACTGTGGCCCAGAGTAGCGTTTAAGGTTGTCCTATGTCTTCTCTTTCCAGAATGCAAAAGCACTAAAAGCCAAGAAGGAGGAGGGGAACAAGGCGTTCAAGGAGGGGAACTTTGAGGCAGCCTGTGAGCTTTACACTCAGGCCCTCACAATAGATCCCAACAACATCAAGACTAATGCCAAGCTGTTCTGTAACAGGGCCACCGTTGGATCGAAGGTGAGGAACATGCACAGGAGAGATGCTACTCATTTACATCTGACAAGGTGTTTTGTGTGTCAAACAACTGTACAGGTCATCTTATCATCGTCTGTGTCTATTTGCCTAAAGCCACTGCAAACACATGTGTTGCTAAGGGGGTATTGTAGCTAGGATACTTGTAATTGCAAATGATTCATTAGATTTGTAAATATTGCATATGAGACTGACAAGAGGAATATGGAAAAGAGACACACGTTTTTTTTAGATAAAGGTAAGCAAAGAAACATTATCAACCTTACAAAAATTACAGAACTGCATCCAATGAATTAGTCTTGATAATAGAAGTTTGATCAGGCAATAATTGAT